AACTTTGCTGCGCGCCGCTTGAATCATAACGATCTGTCCTTAATTTCCGGTTTCGCTCGTCGTCATTCAGCACCGTTCAGCTTCGATTGCAATTTATGTATCTAAATGTGTTATCCCGCCCTCGTAATCCCTGCTTTACAAATCCCATGTATATGCAGCGAGTTGATTTATCCGCGTGGATTATCGCGGCTTTAATCAACGCATTGTCGTAGCCGCGTTCTCGTCGATCCTACTGAATGCGATCCACGGATATACTCCCGGTATATACGGTCTCCTTTACAGATCGCACGGTGATCGAGCCACATAAGGATCCTTCGAGGACACGCGACACGTATCGCGAAGAAAGGAGAATCCGGTAAGACGCTGCGGCCGAGAGACGGAGGAAGGATAGACGGAATTCGCGTGGAAACGTCGCGAAGTGCATTAAAGTCTCGTCGGGATGTTCCGGTTGCAAAAACTCGCTCGGGCGAGGACTTCGTCCGCGGTGGTAGTAGATCCGACGGGGAAAACTCTCCAACGGCACATCGCGGAATCCGGGGCCTCGGGGGCCGAGGCAGACTCGTGCCAAATGAAGTCAACGTTTTCGCCCGTGGCGTCGGTCTCGCTCGCGTCGAGTGGAAAAGGATAATGGGACCGGACGGAATGCGGCGCGATAAACAGGTGATTGCGATGCTCCTCGACAAGAAACAGTCGAATCGACACGGGCCGCGGTAAACGGAGGTAATTCTCGACAGACCGGCGCTTAACGGCGATACCCGATTCGACTGTTCAGTTTCGTTCTCACCTCCACGCTGCAGCGCGTTGCCGTTCTCGTCGCCGAAATCGATCCCGATATAAATCCAAACCTATTTACTCTAACGGCTTCTTTCTTCTTTCTCAATGTTCGGTGCCCCGGCATTGATCGTTAATATAACTTAGAATAAAGTTACAATTAATTAAGAGAGGGAGACAGGAGGTAATGTATGTAATGAAATCTTTCGTCCCGATAAAATTATGTGCAACTTTAACGGCCGGGGAGTTAATGAAACGGGAGGTAGTTCTTTCATTTCGCTTTGTACTTTCCTCCTTCTCTCTCTCTCTCTCTGCGAGACTTACTCGCGCGGCGGTAAGTTTTCCAGGTGCGAGGTGTCCGGTGCACGATTAACGGTACCTATAACGGGCCACGAAACAATTTAGATGCTGCAAAGAGGTCAGCCCGCTCCATCTATTATCGTCTGTCGCGATGCAGTATCCGCCGATACCCGAGCGCTTAATTGGCATTAAACGTGAAAGGCGAGAGGTTAATTGTCACCGTCGAGAAAACGAAATATCATCGAGTTAACGCGATCTGCAAAAATATCGCGGTTATTCACAGTCGAAAAGCAATAGAGAAGCGTATGAATTCCCGATTGCGGAGTCCCCGAATGGACGACGTACGAGGAACGTTGTTGAATTTATTGAGTCGCCGGGCAGTTTCATTAACGAGGACTTGGCGCGCGCGATCGGTAATGAATCCTGTCAACGCGATGTGATATTACGGTCACGTTACGCTGCGTTTGTATCGGAACCAGCGGTATTATGGCATATTAAACACCGTGAATTGAGACACGATTATAATAATACGCGGGCGTTCCCGTTGCATTATCTTTCGGCGCAAAATGTCACGGTGACGTTGAAAACGTTGGAAACGCCAGTGCGAGCGGTGAGATATTAATCGCCCGCGTTGTCCTCGGGAATATCCCGACGAAGCGTAGCGATATAATTGCAATATTCTCCAGCGGAAAGAATATTTGTTCGTGCGAACTTTCCGACGGGCAGAGAGGACAGAGAGGGAGAGAGAGAGAGAGAGAAAGGGAGAGTGAGAGGAGACAACGCGCGTCAACGAACGAGGCGTCAATCCGAGCGCGTTATTCGTTGTCACCGTTACGCATCGTTCAGAATCGCTAATACGATCTCGAACTGTGAGTTATTAACACGCGTCATTAGCTGTTTTACGCACGGCCAGCTCGAAAGCGACTGGTTAATAAAGCGATCGGAAGGCGTCGTCGGCTTTAAACGCCTTGTGGCTGGAGAGCCGCAATCGACTGACTCGATCGGGATTTGCACACGGTGTGAGGTTACGCAACAACACCGTGCCCGTTCTCCTCCAGAGATTAGTTAAAATCATTTGAAAAGCGACACCGCATCTATCTTCCTCTGTGCTTTTACATTGTCACGACGATAGTACTGTAACTTTCTGTCATTACTGAAAAACTGGTCTGTCGATAATGGTTTGCGATACCGTCGGAAGCGAGATAACCTGTAAACTCTTATTGCGAAGAATACACGCGCGGAATAAATACGTGCAATGCGCGTATCTAATCGACTAATGAGTATCCGCTTACGAAAGTCACGAGAGAGAGAGAGAGAGAGAGGGAAAGAGATACGGACGTTTCACTGCGTCACTTAATTGATCGCGCGGGATATGTGTCGCGCGGCTGCACTAATTATTACGCAAGCGGTGATATCGCGTGAGATTAATTCCCGCCGAACCGTATTCTTATCGCGTCTGGTATAAATAGGTAATCCGTTTGTAATAACATTTCGGGACCGACGTTGTAACTTTTATATTTCGCAGGGGCGCGTTAAATAACGCTTTTCGCGTAAAGGGGATTTATTTATAAGGGAAGTTCAGCCGTGAAAAAAGAGGTCAGAAACCTCTCGCATGCTTCGACTCCATCTCTTATTTATCCGCGCCGATGCTTCCAGAAGCAACAGCGGATTTTTATCGCGGCCCCGGTATCGGAAGGCCGATCCGGCCGATCGATAGTCCGGAGCGAACTGTCACTCCGAGAGGTACGAGCAGTTAATCGCGCAAAGAAGCCCGCGCATCTCGCGCAAAACGCAAGCAGGTCCCGTGCCAAATTCGATTTGGAGCGCGATCGACGACGTGGCCCAAAGAAAGTCCCGCGGTGAGAGGAATGACTTTCTAATCGAGTGGACCCGTCGATTCTCGCGGATTCCTTGTTACTCGTACGAAAAAGAAAAGAGAAAGCTGTTAATATTTGTATAAGGTCGAAGGAGTGTCGATTGCACGGAGAAAAAGTGCCGCCGAGTCGATGTAAATTACCGCGTTGGAATCAATGTTCTCGATAGCATTATCATCGAAACTAACACTTTAATCACTGAAACGATACATAACATAGTAGTTTCAATGATATTTGCCATTGAAGCGCGAAGATCTGCCCGAATTACGCTACTGTCGGAAGTTTCATCGATTCAACGGCATTTTTCTCCGTGCGCAAAGCCGTATTTTAATTTCAAATAAATTATTAAATAACAACGCCGTCGGCGGTTGAACTTTTCTCCGATGTGCTCTCTCGGAAAGCGCCTTAGATCCTATCCTAATAAGTTCACGGGACGAGCTCTATCGCGTTCGAGACCGAAGAACGCGATATTTATTCAAGTATTCGCATTTCGATCCGCCTACGTGCCGCGCGAGAGCGTTAATCCACAACGGTTGTTATGTCGGTCATGCGTTTCCACGTCATGCGAAAGCAAGAACTTCCAGGTGGAGCTGCTGGGACCGGCCTACCGGCTCTGCCCATTATATGTTAAGGAGTTACTTTCGAGCGGCGAGAGTCCCACCGGAACGGTACACTCGTCATCGTCCTGTCCGCCAATAAAGCACCTCCACGTTGGAAATTTCAACTCGCAGATACTACTCGCGCTACTACTCCCCTTCTCCTCTCACGCTCCCTCTCCCTCGCTCTTTCATCTTGCCTCTCTTTCCCTCCGCTTCGTTGACGTCATCAGCGAATACGCGGCAACGGGGATCTATCGCACTTTTAGCGATCGAGAATGCTCCCTTCTCGGCTTAATCTCGAGCACGCAAGCTGGCCCGGTTCATTTTAAGCTACCTCGGGCGTTCATGTTTTTTAAATCATGCCGTTACGATTAAAGCCAAAATGGGCCGCGCGAGTTATTAACATTTACATGTATTTAACATTTTTGAGAGACTCTGCGACCCCGATTCCCGACAGAGCTTTGGAAATATTTGCCGTTGAAACTTTTTCCCCAATTAGAGGTGCACGATAAACGGTTGAAGTTTCTTTCGCCGGAATCAAATAATCGAGCACCGTTCGAAGTTTCGTCTGAGGGATTTTTTCAGGATGATCACATTGAACGAATAATGAAACGATATTCAACAAAATGCGTCACACCCGGGGCGAAAGAAGCCTGTTATTAAAGACGTTAACCTACTTTCGTTATCAATGTGTGACATCACATCGTCTTATCGTTTCATCGAATTTCTTTGCTTACTTCTTCACACGCGAGCTGCGACCTTTTCTCGCAGACGCCACCGCAAACCAACCAGACCAACGCGGAATTCCCGTGTCGTTTCGTCACCGCGTCGAGCTTCGTATTTTTTCACACGAGACACACTAAATATAAATTGATTATCATTTCCGAAGAAGTCTGTTTATCTTCGGTGATTCATGACATCGTCGTCAGCTCTTTCCCGTCACCCTCTCCACAATTCGGCTTCCTCCCACTTCCGCAGCTGCCGCGCTAATTAGATCGTTTCGTCCGGAAACCGGCTAAGCCCACGGATGATTTTTCATAGTTAATACGGAGAAGCCTCGAGAGAAACGCAAGGGAACTTAACGAGTGAAACATTACACGCGGAACACAGCGACGACTATCAGCGGAGCTTATCGCAATTCTCGTCGGCGACATTAGCCTAGTTCTTGCCGGCAACGCGTGACATCATCGTCGTCGTCGTCCTGTTCTCCAGGCGCGCGCACACACACGCACGCTTCCCACTAATCCCACATATAGACCCACACCGTCGTTACCAAACGCGTTCTCATTCGCGCGACGATGGAGACGCGTCTATCACCTCGCGCATCCTCTACGCGCGATCGTCTGCTCTACCGAGAGAGGAGCGGGGAGGGGATTTAATCGCGGTTTCGCTTAGCGTCGTTCCGCGCTTTTCTCTCTTTCTCCGCCCGTCTTTTTTCGCAGGACATATCACTGACCTTGAATCGAACTTGTTCCCGTCCTGCAGCGTGCCGGTGTAATGCATGGTCAGCTGGTCGCCTTTCTTCGACCTGGCGTCGCATACCTCGGGAACGTAGAGCTTCTCCACTTTGAGGCCGTTCTCGGCGTGGTCCGCGCTGCCGAGAGCCACGACCGCGACCACGAGGAGAAGCGCGTTACGGCACATCGCCAGCACGGCACTCGCGCTCTTCGACGTGTAGGGGCCCATGTTCATCGGTCGACGGGTGCTCGTGAGCAACTGAGTTCTCGCTGCGTTCTACGCCGGCGAGCCGCCTTCGGGCTTCCACCACCTGCCCCCGCCGCCTCCTGTGCGGCGGCGGCGTGGTTGGAACGGAGAGCGAACCAGAAGAGGACGGAGCATCCGTGCCGCCACATTGCGCCGTCTCATTGGCCTCGCGGAATATGTAGGTCTCTACCTCGGGAAAGTCCTCTCTCTCTCTCTCTTTCTCGCTCGCTCTTTCTCCTCCCCTTCCTGCCCCGACCCCGCTCTCGCTCTCTCTCTCCCTCTCGGTACCGTTCACGATTTCTCACTCGATCCTACTCGACTCGGTCGTCTCTCCTCCTTATTCGCTTCATCCCGCTCTCCTGTCTCTCCTCGTGAACCTGCTCCACATCTCCTTCTCCTTCACGGTTTGTATTTCGGAGCAGAGTGTCTCTCTCTGATCTTTTCTCTCTCTCTCTCTCTCTTTCTCCGTTCTACAGTGCCACGTTGCACCAGCTCGTCCTTCTCACGCTTGCGTCCCGGATGTCGCCGTCCTCTTTCCGCCGATAGCGTATCACGGTGTCTGCGGCTTGCTCCGCTCACCGTGCCCCTCCCCCCTCATTCGCCCAGCAGGTCAGGTGTTCCCTTTCATCCCTTTAGTTCCATCTTCCGCACCTCCGCGCGTCGTTGCGTCTTCCGCTTCTTCTGACCCTTCCTTTCTCGCTTGCTCGCTCGGCCGTCCGCTCGTCCCCCCTTCCTCACGACCTATCGGTTATCACCGATACAAAAGAGGCGCGGTGGTAGGGGGGGAGGTGAGTCGACCGATTTTGACGAGACTCCTGCGGGCGAGTCGGGCGAAAGTTCAACGTAAGGGGAATCATCGTTCCCCGTCGACGGTGGATCGAATTAAGGTATAAACTTTAATCCGGCAGAAATGTTATCTCACCGGCACAATGCGGCCTATTAGATACACGATGAAAACTCCGCCGAAGTTCGCCCGCCCGTCGCCGTGCTTCCCGCGCGGTGTAAGTTTTGCTCAAACGAAGAAAAATTTCCTTCATATCCCGGAACGAAATTCCTCTCCCTCTCTCTCTCTCTCTCGTCCCTCCTCTACCCCCTCTTGGACGCGTGTTTTCTTGTATCGCAATTAAAAGCAATCAAACGCGCTTGTAAGACCGACGACTCAACGTCGTAACAACGTATCGATCGCCGGCGATTCTCGCCGGACAATTAAGTCTCACAGCCGGCCGCAATCTAAATTCACCGCCGCCTACGCACAAATACGCCGGGAGCGCGGGAGGAAAAGTGCGGACGAGCGTAAAGCAACAACGGTAGAAGAGGATGTCGTCTCGTGAAAGCGCAGGCGATTCGTATCTCCCGGGATTCAATTCGATTTTGTCCACTTCGTCAAGCGGAGTCGACTTTCTCATTTCTGTTTGGCTTGTCCTCCGGCGCGTCCCCTCGGCCGCGTTCTTCTCGGGAAGCTTTCTTTCTTCCGTTGGTACGGATCGTAGATCCGCGAATCCATCTATCGCTCTTTAATTTCGTTCGCCATCTCTCGGCCGCCGTGTAACGTGTCAACCCGATCTCGTCGTTTATCACCGGTGTCACCGCTGCAAGGCGCATCACCGATGCGTTTCCTTCCTCCGCGCGAATTGGAGATGGAGGATTTCGCGGTTGTTTCCGCAAAACACACGGACGCCGCGAACTGATCAAACCGGGCGTACTTCCTTTTTCGCGAACGACTTTGGTTTTAACATCGGTCGCCCGAGGTCGAAATATCAAGCCGCGAGTTTTCGATCGGACACGCTCGCTGGCTCTAAAACTCGTCCCCACCACTCTCGGCCTGCTGGCTAAAACAAAAGTCTCCCGATGAATTATTTATGGAAGATTTTACGTGCCGGTATGCAAATGCGCGCATCGAGATTCGCTAACAGCGAGATTTCCGGGGAACGCGCGTACTCGAGTAACGATAGCCGATCCATCGAGGATCCCTCGGAATTGAATCGGAATCTTGTGGAATAAAATCTGCCCCTTCGATCGCATGTAACGTCCCGCTCGATCGATGCCACGGTGAAAGGGAAGAAAACGAAGGAAATCGGTCTAAAAGTAATACTGACCTTACGTAAATTTCACCGTTAACTTCCGTAGCATCCGCAAGCCGTAAATGCGTCCTTCGAAATTCGCGGGAGAGCTTCGCGTTGATTAGGTGGTCGGTGCATTTTGGAAATAAGATGAAACTAGCTGCGAGAGTAGGTATATATATATATACACGCGGGGCTCGCATTTCCCTTTTCTCGTTTTTTGTACACTTTGACGGAAGAGAGGCAAACCGGTACGCTCGTTTCTCTCGACTAGGACGACGACGACGTCATGGTGTGCAGTGAAAAGCGAAAAGTCGAGCGCCCTGCGTACACACTCGTTACATCGTGCGCGACGGGACACTCAGACCGAGTTTACATCTTGAGAAACGTTTGCAGAAATCGCAGCGAGCTCTTTGACCCCGACCCTCTCCCGTGACGCAACGGTTCGAATTACGGCTCACCGTATATACAAATTATAAGATTTGTAACGGTGCCGACTTGGTGAACCGTCGAATGCGATATCGATAAGGAACCGAACGCCGAAACATATTATTCCCACTGATAACATTAACGCACGGTCATGTCATTGCGTAACAAGATAATAAACGCATAGTGATAACCGGGATGAGATAAGTTCACGGAGCGACTGATGCAATCGTAGCTTCAGGGTCAATAAGATGGCTTCGAAAAAAAATAGACTTCTTATTAATCAATAATAATTGAACTTAAATAATCACGTGCGTAGGCTCTAGTTTAACGAGTTGCCTTAACATTCTCCCTTACTCTATTTACGTACTGGCCGCGTGATAAATGAAAAGGGAAAAAGTCGGAGTTTATTTGACGCTCTTTCAATGGAAGGACGTCAAACGTCCGATAAACGTCCCCGATTCGAAACTGGCACCAGATTTCATTAAAAGTTCATCGGATCAGAATTTTGATTCGGCGCGCGCCGTCCTCTCGACGAAGAACAATTATTTCCCGAAATCAATAGTGCCGGGCGCAAATGCGGTAGGAAGTTCCAACAGCTCGTATAACGACGCTCCCAACTAATCCTCGCTCCGGCTGCTTAACGCATGGAAATTAATAATGAGACAGAATGGAAATCCTGGAGCGATAAGCCCCGGATCTACGTAACTCCGTGGATTATGCAGCGACGCGCGGCCACCAACCCGAATTGAACGAACGATCGAGAAACAAACACGGAATCGGCTCATTTAATCCGTGATCGCAGCAGCTGCCTACCTTCGAAATAATCAGAGATGTAAGATCCTTCGGACGCCGCGAAGGACTTCCGGTTCCTCAACGATAAAGATAATTCTACATAATACATGTCAACAAGAGAGATTAATGCCCTTAAACGACCCCAAATTTCTTTAAAGATCTTTTTTATCTTGAATAATGACAAAATGTTGATAAAATATTTGACTTCAAGAACGGGGAAAGATTCTCTTTTTTACATAAATTAAAAAAGAATAACAGAAACAAAAGTACGTAAAGTGATACAATGAAAAAAAGATTTAGATTTCTATGAGCAACGAATTTCATTTGTTTCTCAACATACTTTGTCATTTCGCGATTTTTAATCATGTATATTGAAGAAAGAATTGATTGCAGTAGTTAAAATGTAGCTAAGTTGTAAGTTCCGATCTACTAGCCGTTGAAGAAATTTACCAATCACAGTGAAATTGCAGAAAAAAAAATCAATTATGATCGGTCAATTTCTTACGGCTTCGAGCTTGCCACACCTATTGTAGATCGGGACTAACATACGGACACTTAAAACTTTGACAGCGTAAGCAATTCTAATTGCTTCATTAGCAAACTCTTTTGCTGGGGTGAAAATGTACTATCGTACATGTCATTTACGACGATACGTTCGCTGCAGCAGCAATTAAAATCGCTTACGCTGCTGAAGTTTTAGGTGTCCGCATGTTACAACTAATTTAGCTACTGAAGGCTAATCGTTTTTCTTCTCCGTGTGTGATGTCCACATATTAGAACGATTCAAGAGGTCTTGGGATTTCATCCCTGCAATTTTATACGCGTTTTGCGAGGCAAAATATCCGCAAACTCTATACTTTCTCGACTGTAACTTTGACATTTCCGAGACGTAGGATTGCCGCGCCATTTGCATGCTCCGTTAACTAATACAGCAAGCCGATAATTTACGACGCTCTCGCCTTCTTTCCGTACGTGCACAATTTCTCGCGCGGCTATTTCGGCAGTTTATACCCGTAGACACTCGGCGACGGCCATTGGGCGAATAGTAATTGCTCGCAGAGACCATCGTTCCTAGTTACTTGAGACCCGAAACGTAGTTTAAACAGCCCGTATCTCGCGGCTCGAATTCTCGCCACGTGGTCTTCGCATTCGTGTCACGTCGGTGTTGCCGCGCGATAGTACGGTCCACGATGCGATTTACTTCGGAATCGCTTGTCGAAGCTCTCGGGAGAATCGCAAAACGATCCTTTCTTTGCCCTTCGGTATTCCCAAATTCGATAGTCTTTGGCACGCATACAGATTACGTGACAAAGTGATACTCGAGGAAGCGGCGCGATACCATCTCCGTCGCGCGCGGTATCATATTCCATCTTTTTCGCTTATACGCTGAGGCCGTCTTTCCGCCGTTCCGAGTGCTCTCTAAAGTGCAATCAGTCTATTATCACTGGGAAGCAGCTAATAGTCACTCAACAGTGATCGTAGTTACAAGTGCAGTACTGCAAATCGGTAAAATTTCGCTGCAAAAGTTTGTTAACAGCAGCAACGGTCTCTATTGGAGAAATCTAACTTCAAAAGCAGTAAGGAAAACATTTATTACTCCTTTTTTGTTATCTTAGTTCCACTTAATTCCACATTTAAGACTATTTCAGGAATTCGCTACTTAAAAGCTTTGACAGGAACCTATAAGCATAGGCCTTCTTAGGAACGCCCAGCCATCAGTACCTATTCAG